GACCGTACTAGTAGCGGACAACGAGACTTTTCAAGGGCTGTGAGCTAGTCTGCATGGTAAAAAAATCATAACATCTTTGTTTAAAAACAAATGATGAAATTTCCTTAACCAAGACGAATTCTTTGTTCGCCGTAAAGATGGAATAATCAATTGAGTTTTAGGGGCGATATTTATCTGATCAGAATTCAAGCTCTTATTGTGGTCTTTGGAGGTGTAATTCGCCATTGTTTTTAGGCTCGCGAGCCTCAGTGTAAGAATTTGTAGAGGTGGTTCTGTGTTGCTCAAAAACTGTCACTTGGACCACTTGCTTTTCATAATCTATGAATGAAATGTTCACTTACATTTTCACTGATGTTGAAGAGGAATTGTGACGTAAGTTGACGAAAAATCTATTAAGTGTGAGCCCCATAAAGCCATGCAGAGCTTCTTTTCAGTAACTGACCGAGATAGTCAAAATCCTGCGACTCAAGTTTATGGCAAGGAAACAGATTATGTCGAAGGGATTAGTTAAAATACCATTTTGAATGTTAAAAGCTGTCTATTACTTACAAGAAGGTGCAATTAAATGGAAGAATTTAATTGAAGAAAGAAATTTGTAAAGAAATCAACTGTCTTATTGAGTACCTCGAAAGGTTCGGTTCAGTATCAGAGGATGTTTGTTTTATTGATCCTGGTTAAAACTCCACCGACACAAATCTCTATAAATGTTTAAACTCGTCTTTTGAAGCAAAGATTCGCCTAAATACAAAGAATGTAGAAGGGGGACCCCTTCCCCCTGCTGGTTCTGCTGTTGGATCGAAACCTAAGATCTTGGAACTGCACAGGTTTATAGCTTGAAGAAATCTCTTAATTCCTCTCATTCATTCGCAGCCTCGATCAACACCTTTCATGTCTTCTTGGAAATTATCCCTAAACGTGGCAGTTTCTTATTTAAAAAAAAAAACTCTTACAAGCATGAGAACTAAAAAAATCAATTCCTTTGCACAGCTGGATCATTTCTCGACGATTATACATCGCATTTTAATTATTGAAGGTCTATAGTAATTTACGTTATTCAGGGTTTAAATGGCTACTGATAGTGGAAAAGTGAGCACGTTGTGGCACGAAAAGGGGCCATAAAAATGTAATGAATAAAATCTTCACATTCAGAGGGTGGTAAGAAGCCTTCTAGGCGGCCTTATGAACAGTCACCAGCTTGTACTGAAACTCCTGCACACTGCTCTCCTTTTAACTCAAGTTTACGCAACCATAGTTTAATCTATGTATATATATACACATATATATAAAAAGCACAAGTTTCAATGTAGCTTCAACAATAACGTAAAAAGATATATCCTTGTTGAGAAACAATATAAACATAAAAAGTTCCTGTTTAAGATTGTACACTTTGCATGCGATTCTTAATAGTTTTCAATGCAGAATGGATCTCATTGCGAAGATGCCCATGCTCTAGCTGGCTATCGTTTGGATCGATAAAATCCCCAAACGAATATCCAAATGATCGACAAACCATCAAGTTGTAATACTAACCTTTCCTGAATAAGTGAAAAATTCACCCAAATGATCACTGATTTTGAGGAGATACGTGCAACTCAAGTACACAGGAAACCTTGTAACTGTGAGCTTAATAAATGAGATATCATCGATCTGTGAGGTTCGACCGATGTATTAAGGGTTTCAGGGGCCCAGCACAAGCATGGAAAGCTATCCCTTTGGATCGTAGGACTCGAGAGAACTTTTTTAAAACGTTAAACATATTTTCAGGGAGGTGAGTTTAGAAAGACCTGAAGATAGCAATAAGCAAATCAAATAACAATCACAATTGTTTGCAAGAAAGCTTTAGAATAGTGTTCACCTTTAAAGTTCTTCTGTGTCTTCGTTATCTCATTCAAACTAGAGACCATAAACAGGTCGCCTTCTGGCGTGCAACGATCATAAAATTCGAATTTTGAATTTAAATATTCAATCAAAAAGGCAAATATTGCAGAAATATGAGTCCGGCTTCCAGCTGCCATTTCAGCTACTTGATTGAAACTCCACTGACCAAGCAAGCATATTGAAGTTTGGCTATAAATTCCAGTGAAGGACTGCATGAGGTTCACAGTCTTGATGCAGAACTTGCAATACCTCTTCAGTACATCGGAATACAAGAAAATTATTCCTATACGTAGTTGTTAGAAGATCGAAAAACACTTGTCTTATAGCCTCCTACGCCTTAATGGTAATTAATAATATCAAATTTTCTCCCACGCTCGATTACAGCTTAGTTTCAAGTCCAAGTACGTATGTGGCAGTGATGTTTCTTGTTAAAAAAAACACCGCTAACCTACCGTTATTGCTTCACTGAAACCAATTTTAACTGTCATCGACGATCTTCCCTCTAACGAAATTTATTTCGTCATTTTAGTTACGAAAATGGTAGCGATGGTTCTGGAGAAAACGCCGTAATAGCTGTGTAGCTTATTTGGGGTGAAACGCTCCCGACTGGAAAGTTATTCGAAATGACAACAACGATGTATCACGTTTTATTTTTATAGTATTCATGGACCCTCTTGAAGTTATATTTTGGTTACATGTAGTTATAATGATGGGGTAACCGTAAGTTTTGAATGCTAGAGTAATCCCTGTTTAGTTAAATAACATTCGACAAACACAATGTAGATCAAACGTTGGCGGGCAGTAAATGGATTTCCGTTCAGTCGGTGCAAATTGGTAAATTGATGACTTTACTCCTCATTCATCACTCTTCCTCTGAGAGTTACGAAGGCCTACATCTTTTGCTTCACTGTGTTGTTTCATTTTAGAAAGATGTAGTTGAAATAACCTTGGTTTGCAGGAAAGCCGGATGTTTTGAACAACAATCCGAGAAGCGTTTTAATGATTTGTATTTCGGGGAACATGCTTTGTTTACTCTCGTTATTTAACTCGATTTCATGGAAACTAAAAAAAATCAACTTATCGCTCCTTAACTGCTTTGCAGAATTCTCAACGAGATGTCAGCCATCTTGACGAACACATGAAACTTTTGAAAGTGAAGCGGGAGCGCTTGCTTCGGTCGTCGTAGCCGAACTAAGCAAATCATTTCTTACTAATCAGTGGCCGGATCCGTCGCCATTGAAGTATGCACTAACTTACCTTGAATGGGTAAAGGATACGTCACCGCATTTTAACCTAACTACGGCTTCCTCTGGCTCATTAACCGACTGATCGGTCCACTACATAGACCTGCCCGGTCGTGCAAACATATTCGTCCACAAGATGCAGAGGGGGTGACTATCTATCGACGGACGACGTGAGGATCACGAGACTAGCTAGATGCTCATTGGCCCAAGTTCAAAGTTGAACGGTTCAACAACAGATCAAATTCTAATTTCTCCTTGAAATGAGAGCTTATGTTGAAATAAAACGGAACGAAACAGTTGACATCCCGGTTCCTACTTTGATAGAGAATCAAATTCTCGTCACTTTAAATACACTGATCAATATCTGAGACTTACATTTGCCCGTTTAGTTTGTGATATTTTTAAGGGAGGGGCTAGTTTCAGAGGGGGTGAGAAGTTTTAGAGGGCACGGCATGAAAGTTGGATAGAGATTTCTTCAGTCAAAAGGTTTCGAAAAAGCCAAGTAATTTTTTTAATTCGTTCTATTTTTGGCCAAAGGAAATAAATTTGGAAAATTAGCGAAATTCCAATCTATGTTGGTTTTTCTTACTTATCCATTCAGCTTGATCGTCAGACATTCCATTCATAGTCGTGTCTATCCTAGTCATCGGCGGTCATTCGAACAGTGAATACGTATTATGTTGTTGTTGACGGTGCATTTGTTTCATCTGTTATGGCCGATTTCAATCCAGACGTAAAAATATCTTTTTTTAGGGTGTGGCAGCATTACGAACACCAACATACCCTCTATTTTTTATAATGTGACAAATGCAGAATCCAAGTTACCAAATAACCTACAGCGCTTGTTTGAATAATTTCCTTGATCATTAACATAATCTCTGTTTATCATACAAGTTAAAATCGGCGTTTGAAACCTTCCGTTTTTGAGTCTTAGTGTTTTCTTTTGGAGGAAGCTCGTGTTCTATTACCACTTGACTTCATAGATTGTTGACAGTAAACTGTACGCGGAGAAACACACAAAACATATATGTAGACTTGAAAAAAATAGTTTTTAAGGACTGAATATCACAGAGTAATGTTTTGAACGGTGACACAGATAAAATCGAAAACGTTTTCACCATTCAATTTTAACATAGACAGTCACCACATAGTAACTGTAAAATTTTCAAGGTATGCGGCCAAGACAGGAAAAAGTTTAAAATACACAAATGAGTCATTAGTTGCTTAAATTTGGAGTCTTCGTAGCTTTAAACCGTTTTTTTACGAGCTTGTCAAAAATGCTGCTCATTTCGGTAAATGAAAATATTTTTGTTGAGGAATATAAAGTTTTAATGGATTTTAATGAAGATGTGTTTTCTTTTTAGACCGCTTTAGATCTGATGAAGTTGCAAATTAGATTTACATAGTGATACTGAGAATATTTTCGGTGTGACTTTTTCCTCTGTCAATTTAAAAGAAATGATAAAAAAGAAGATATAAATCAAGTATCTTGTCCTGTTATGTAGCATCAATTGAGTTGGTTATCCCACTGACTTTAACAAAAATTGATATGGTAAACATTACAGATAACCTGAATCGCAAAACTGCTTATTTGTCATGGTGGGAAATTAAATTCAAGGAACGTAAAATTACTTGATGTGTACGTACATAATTAAGACCTAAGAGAATAGATCATTTCACTAGAAATACGTCAATAATGCTAACGAATTTGATATTAACTTACCGCCATTTGCAAGAAGCTTGAAGTCTTTAATCACTCGTTCATCACTCTAAATAGCGAAAATTGCTTCTAGCGCATCTTTTGTTAAATTCTTTGCCGATGACGCATCTTTGCATAGTTGCACAATTGAAATGAGCTGACTTTTGACATCCCTTCAGATTTTTCCGAGAAAGAAAGGAACTCACACTGGAAAGATTACTTTCGATATCAGCATTTCCGAGAAATCCAGGAACGCGTCCAAAAGGCCTACTTACTCTGCTCCCCTGGAGTAGCTATGTCGTCCCCTTTTTGTGCGTGAAGAACTGGGTCCAAGGTAACAGACCCAAACAAAGATGGCGTCTGTGTTTTCTCTCCCGACTTAACTTGCCATATGATGATTGCTCTTTCTTTGAAGCCGAATTGTAGAAAGTTGAATCATGGAAAGTTGAACTGGTAGTTTTGAACTACAGCTGGTTGTTTTTTTTTGTTTAACGTGAAAAGGTGGGATGGAGGAATCAAAGACGGACTCGAGGTATTCAGTTGACCATCAGTAAGTTACTTGAAACGAAATGTCATTTGGTGGAAAGTCGTTCAAGAGGGAAGAGCTTCGTATGAAACTAGAGCTTCAGAAGCTAACAAAACAATCCAAGAATGAATTCTCAGGCTTGAATCCGAACGACAAGTCCAAATTTCTTGAGAGCAGTTTGAAAACTGCTTTGGCGCTTAAAAACCAACCAATAAAACGGAGTCGTCCCGCGAAAAGCAAGCAAAAAGTGACAGGTATAGAAAACAACGAATCAGATGGTGAGGTTCCTCCACCAAGTCCTTCAATTGATTTAGCTCCAGAGCTGAGATCAACGCCAGACTCGGAGATACATGCAAAGGCTGTTGCTGGAGTGGACTGCTTTGGTGCTGATTTGAGGAGTTCTGATTTGTTCTCCCGATCTACTGGTGTAGCTTCTATCCGATCGAAAGTCGACTTGAATGTTGTAATGTATGGAAGGGGACTTCAAGAAGAGACTAGTGCAGTGATAAAAACAAGGGAAAAGGTAACGTGAAAATAGCTGCATGTGTTCACTAAGTTAAATTCAATCGTTTTACTCACAAGATCTCGTCAGTAATTCTCCTTACTATTTTCCATGCAATTATTATCATGTTTGTGTGGAGAATTTGGTTTTAGGTCAACTGATAATCCCCTAATTTATATTTTAGTTAGTCTCATCATTGTCTGGTTGATATTGCATTGATAGTGTGAGGAGATTATGTTTTGGTCACACATGGTAGTTTAAGGGTTTAGTAGGCCCAATTCACCAGCCAATTAGTTCACAAGACCAATCTTGAATGAAGCAAATGCAGCATATTAATCAATTCAAAATTTCAGATTGAATTAAAAATGATTCAAATTTCATGTCTGAACTGTCATTGCCCATGAAAATATGAACATAATTGTATAAATCCCATACTCATAATTATAATAAATGTTTCTGTTGAAGCTAATTTCACAACCTAGCCATATCTTTTTGCAATCATTTCATGATACTGTAACAGGCAGGGGGCAATATTACAAGTGTGGACTTAACCTTTTTTCAGAAATCAGCGAAAAAACCACAATCAGCTAGATCCAGAAGTCCTAGAAGTCCTGCACCTCAGGCTCAACACAGGAACATTCAAACCAAGAAACCAGCAATAATAGGCTCTCAAAGCACTACAGTAGCAGTCCAGCTTACACCACGCCCAGCACAGAAACAACGGACAACCTCCAGGGCATCACAGCAAGGATCAGTGAGAAGTGGTGCTTCATCCGCCAAGTAGGTTGAAACTTGTTAGGCTGGTCAACAGTCTTTTAAGACAAATGAATAAAGGGGATAAGTTTCCTAGGAAACTGTGGTGCTGCATTGGTGGGAGAGTATAGCCAGTAATTTAGTGTTAACAACCGTGTTAAAAATGCAAATTGGCCATCGTAAAGGGTAAAAAAGCTGACATTTCGGGCGTCAGCCCTTCGTCAGAGCAATTAAGACTATCAGCATTAGCTTTAAGTATAATTACAATAAACAGGTGAATAGCACTTTTGGTGCACGCTGATTGGCGAGTTCAGAAGTTAATAGCAAGTACAATTGTACTAGTGTACACTAGTGGTCCCTGTAAAGCCAATGAGAAGGTTACACTAAAAACAAAACAACCGATCTGATCTCAAGGCTTGTTTAAAGTAACCAATCAAATTGCAGGAAAATGAAAGACAAAGAGTATCATGTGGCAAATTTTGCAACTTTTGTTTCCCAAACTCTTACTTTTTCCCTCCCAGAAATGGATTAATTTAATTTCAAACTGGCTCAGTGCTGCATCAATAGAATATTTGAACTGACCAAGTCTTGTATTTGGGTAATTTCAAAATGAATGTAATAAAGTGGTAATGGAACCTCATGTTGTGCAATTTTGATCTGAAATCATAATTGTGATTCCAAATCGAACTCATGCTGCACACTCGTTCAATTTTGAAATCACGCATATGATTTCAGCCCAAACTGCACTCCACTCAGTTCAATTACTATCATTAATTCAATTAAAAAATAAAAGAAAATGAGTCATGCTTCTCAATGAATTAAACCTTGTGTGAGCAATCAACAAATCAACTCCCCTTGTAGCATTCTTTGTTAATCTTTTCCCACATCAGGTGTGAAAGTAATTTTTTTTTCTGTTAGCTCTGAAGCAGTCAAAGAGATATCTACAGTACATGTACATGTAATCCTTACTAGGAAATTGAAAACTTTTTGCATAAGTAATTTTTTTTTAACAAACTGCCAAGCAGAAATAAAAACATCTGAACCATCTTAGTTAATTTAAACAAAAATCACACACAAAATTTAGTTGGTGATCATTTCCTTTATTCTCATGACATTATTGTGTGATTCAGTGGTGATATTGTAGGGAGAAATTAGATGCTAGTCACTTTCAGGGGTAAAAGGGGCAAAAGCAAATTAAGGTACATCTTTGCTTCAATTGTGGAGGTGCGCTGGCCTCATGGTTAGTGCGCTTGACTCCAGATCGAGTGGTCCAGGTTCGAGCCCTGGCCAGGGTCGTTGTGTTCTTAGGCAAGACACTTCACTCTCACGGTGCTTCTCTTCACCCAGGTGTACAAATGGGTACCAGCAAATATGCTGGGGGTAATCCTGCGATGGACTAGCATCCCATCCAGGGGGAGTAGCAATACTCCTAGCTGCTTCATGCTAAGGAAACTGGAGCTAAGCGCCAGCCCCATGGGCCACTTGGGCCTGTATAAAGGCTTCACTTTTTTTTGCTTCAATTGATACATCTGTTTTTACATTTAATCAGGGACAAGGAAATTTTGAAGGCAGGGTCACCTACTGTGGATGAAGATGAGGGTGAGGCTGACTCAGCTCTTGTAACTGAGGCCAATTCAGATAAGGATGACAGGCCAAAAGAGGTGAAGGTCCATACAAGGTCAGAAGATGCATCTGGTGATACACATGACCAAGAAGCTGATGTGAAAGATGAAACCAGAACTGTGCAAGTTGCTTTTGATTTGGTTGAAAATGTTGAACCAGTTGATAAAACATCCAATGGCAAAAATGATGAACAGGATGAGAATGAAAAAGCTGAAAAACATTTTATCACTTCTGAAGTCTTAAAAACCTCAATTTCTGCTCCAGCACTAGCCAGTGGGAAAATGGCTGTTGACTCTGAGGAAGATTCACCAATGAATAGGATCCACTCAGAGATTCTTGAGCTGACAAGGAGAATCAGTCAACCAGAGGTAGGTTTACTGAACTTAATCAGAGCTACTGAAGAAGCAGAAAATGAAGCAAAAAGGCTACAGGAGATGGCTTCTGCAGCTTCTCCAGCCAGAGAAAGCTTGTTACTGCGAGCAATGGCTGAGCGTGGAGGCACTGGCTTCTCAATCCAGGGAGCTCTGCGAGGCTTGTCTCCTCGTGATCCAAAGCAGCTGACATCTACCAGTCCCATGATGCCAAAACCACCTGTCCCTGCTGTTAAAACTAAGTTGCAGAGTGATGAAACAAACAGAGCCAGGGTCTCAGTGGAAGAGAAGGAAAGCTCAAGTACAAGCCCAAAGAAAGACAGGGGAATGGCAATGAACAGTGAGATGAGTGCTCCTGCTGAAATTAACGCCAAACCACAAGAAGCAGAACTGCCGCAGACTGCTAGTAAAGGAACAGTAACAAGGAGGAGTGGAGTGACTGAGATGGATGTGTCAGGTAGTTTTGTAGTACCATAGATAGCAGTGGTACTGTATGTAGATATGTAGCTGTGGGCTTTGATAATATACTTTTAATTACTGGATGTGAATTTCTTTATGGTCTGTGATAGTGTTATTGAATAGATCTGCTTTCCACTCTTGCTCTTTCAGGTTCTCCATCTCTCACGTCTTTGACAAGACAAGGACTTGCCAGTCAGAAAACTATGACAACAGAACAGGCCATGGAGGTAACTGGTGTGGCTTTTTGGGATAAATACATTTATCATGATCACAGTTAGCTGTATACTTACCAAGTCTTAACAAGGAGGCATGAATCTTGCCCATGCTATTCTTTGATTTTCAATTCTTTAACTGATGATTTCATGTACATTATTGAAACAGATTGTCATGGGAATAGAGTGAATTATGTCAGTAATTTTTTTAGAGAACCCTTTAGTTGCTTAAATTTTTTACTATTTTAATTTCATTTCATTTTGTCCAGTGCCTATTACTTCCTTCTGAAGTAGTTCCAGAAGACATCATCAGCATTAAAGGTCAACAGTTTGAAATGGTGTCTAAACAGTCTCCTGCCCTGGCAACTGCTCCAGATTCAGAGAAACAGTGGATTGATCTTAAACAAGACAAAACTGTGATGTTTTTGGATTCGTGGGAAGTGAAGGAAAAGAAAGAAAAAGAAAATGACCAAAAGGTAAATGTACAATGTGCACATTAATCCTTTTCTATGTTTGGTTCTTCATGGCCGAAAGTAGTTTCAAGTGTAAGAATATTGATTCATGCAAGTCCATTTTTAAAAACTGACCGACATTGTTTAAGAGTGAAGAATAATAAGAACAATGTCCAGCTGAGAAAAAGTTGTGTTCCCTCTCCTTTGAAAAACAGACTGAGATATTGTCAGTTAAACTCACAATGAATACTAATGCCATACGTACATGTAAATGGGTTTCAGGGTGAAAGTTTAAAGGCAAATATACAGTGGTACATAGCTGGGTGACCCTTGAAATACTTCAAAGCTTTCCATATTTCCTCAAATAGGGACCCCAGCACTGATTTAAAATATTGCAGCCATAAGGATGGCTGCCTATTGGAAGGAGTGAGGGTAACTCAATCAAGGGGAGGGCTTGATATTTTCCTGTACTGATTTTGTTTTAGTTGAAGCTTAAAAAGTCATAAACAAAATAGCAATAGAAACAAGTTTTCCTTGTAACTCTACTATTTAAAGTGAGGAAGGAGGGGGTGGGGTGCTTATCTGAGGGTGGGGGGGGGGCACTTGTTTGACATTGTGGCCAAGGGCATGGGCACTTATACAAGGAAATACAGTATTCCAGTTTCTGAAGTAGTCATAAAACAATTGATGAAAGATTTTAATTTGCTCTTCACCTGAGATGGGATGCTAATCCATGCCAGACAACCCTAAAATCAGTGTCATTGTCTCCCAGTTGCCATAAAACATGTTGGTGCTCAACCTCTTTATGAACTCAGTTTGGAAATTTTGATGATATGCTGGTCATTTTGAAGAGACTTTTGTCCTCATTTTCTCTAGTATATACAAGCTACAGTATACACTGTCTTGTAACTAACTTGTACCATTTGCCTGAAAGAAAATTCAAATTCAAATTGTAATCACCAATGTTGAGCATAATTTGTTGATTTTTGAATTTTTTAGCCTGTCAAGACTCACAACATTCACCATTTCTGTACCATGCCATCCAGAGTGGAACTACCTCCTCATCTATGCAGATTGACAAGAGATGAACATACAAGCAATAAATATCGTAAACTGACAGAGAAGACGATGGAGGTAAGATTAACAGAAAGGACTGCAGAGGGAAAGATTGGTCTGAGGTTGTGGCAGTACAATAATAAGGGCCAATATTTCTCAATATGGCTTAAGCAAGTGAGGCTAATAACCAGATTATAATTATATAGCACTTAGACTAAACTTGTTTATTTGAAATTTTCTGGATTTTGAGAACAAAAATACATGGCTTATGACCATTTCCACATCCATATAGCAAAATCTAGTCCAAGTAATAATCAATTAGAATGTTTGGGTTTCCCCCAAGACTAACCTGTCTATAATAAAGTAATCTCACTTAATGCTTATCTCGGTCTTTTTTTTTAAAGATTTCCTACAATACATTGTAGTTGGCACCAAAAAAAGCCCAAATTACATTGTATAGAAGAAATGCATTTGAATGATAAATCATGATACAAAATCAGTTTTTTTTTTTACCATCTCACTCTGTCTCTTTTGAAAATATTATGTCTTCAATTTATAAGTACATGTAGCAAACATTTCTTTCTTCCATCCTTTAAACCCTTTTCAAATGAATACATGAAAGACATGATCATCTTCAAATGGGAGAGGTTTGGAGAACAAAAAGACTGTAACTATAATAGTCTAATAGCAGGTGAAGAAGCCAGAGTGGAAACCAGTGTTTGGTGTGCCTCATTGGACCTTATGCAATAAGTGGCTTAGTAATGGTGTTACAGGAGGCTATGCCTGAGAAAGTCGCCATAAGGCAAAACCCAAGCCAGGAGCTTGCTCGCAGGCTGAACAGACAACAGTTAGGAGTCTCACCGGCAGTGGTAGACCACCAGTAACTGAATTTTATTGAAACCCATGAGTTGATAGTACTACCTTGTTTAAGGGTTTAACCCTTTACACCCTAACATCAGTATCCAAAGTCTCCATACTCTTTTCTATACCTTTCCTTTAGTACTGACAAGGAGAATTTGTCTAGCAATCAAAGCTTCTTTAATTAGTTGGCAATCGATCATTTCCTTTACTCTTGTGATCTTAATGAATGACTCAGCTGTATTACTGTAAGGAGAAATTAGATACTGGTCACTCTCAGGGTTTAAAAGGTTTATAGAGTAAAATTGGGTCAATATCAGTATCTGGGCAACTGCCCACCTACCCCTCCCCTCCTCTAACCCAACATTAACTCTAACTTGTTATCAATTGACTGTTGTTGGGTTAGAGGAGGGGAGGGGTAGGTGGGCAGTTGCCCAGATACTGATATTGATCTGTAAAATTTGTATAACCTGCTTGTTATATGCAGAGTTTGTCACTGAATAATAATGAGAAGAACAATTACATGTAAGAACAGTTGTGAATACTTGAGTCACGACATGTTTGTATCCAAACATGTCGTGACTCATGAGAATTTTAAACCATGTTGGAATATACTGAAATGTTCAAAACAAGTGGTTTTTTAGCCAAGAACATTCTGTGGAGCCAAAAGGTTATGGATTTGCACACATGCGTGTAGTGCTTCTGAATATGTTTGCTTTTTTGCTGCTCATTGTTACTTTGCAGTCACCACCATGCAACAAAAATTGTTGCCCTTTGCAGCATTAGTTGTTGTTCACAACTGTTTTTAATTGTTCTTCGAATTACAATATAGCATTTAGTGTCAAACTCTTAACAGGTAATACAAATTTACTCTTAGACTACTAGGATAATTGATACTAATGTCAAGATTATTATCAAAACAGGTTTTACAGGAAGAGGAAGAGGAAACTGGAGATGAAAAAGAGCCAGAGAAACCAAGTAGAGCTGTTCAGCAGCGACGGTGGTCAGTTGTGGCCCAAAGGATTCTGGATGAAGCTTTGGTGGCTGGTGATGATGAGGAGACTTTCAATAGGTTGAAGAGAGCTTCAGATGATTTGGTGAGTTGTGACTGCTCATCTTGGATTCCTAGTGATCTAAGAGGTTACACTGTTATGTACACAGCTACTGAGGGCTTGAGTTATGCTGGGTTGAAAGTTACAAGACAGTTGTAATATGGCTCAATTATATGTATTTTAGCAGGCACAAACTCCTCCTCCGTGATATGATAAGCTGAATTGTTCACACATTTTGATTGCTTCTTACATATGATCTACATATATTGGTGGACAGACACAAAGATGATGTAACCATAAGCTTTTTTATCATTAAAAAAAAAAAAAAACAGATATTGACTGTAGCCATTGGTCTGTAGAATAGTAGATCACTGAAGATGTCAAAATATGTTAGGTGCATTAGTGGCATACTCAGTTGCGACTTGTGAGCCACTTTATTTTTCCTTACCACATTTTGATGTCTTCTGTGATCTACAAGATCTACTGAACATATGCATGACAACATGGAATCTATTCAACAAATAGATTCCAAGTTGCTGTATGTCTGTTCAGTAATCGATCACAGATGACCTCAAAATGTGGTAAGAACAAAAAAGTGGCACACGAGGGGTAGCCGAGTATGTCACTGATGTTCTTACCACATTTTGACGTCCTCTGTGATGTATTACTGAACAGATGCACAGAAACTTGGAATTTATTGGTTTTATATCATAAAGAATTAAAAAAGTTTTAATGATGACATCATCTATATGTCTGTCCTCCAATAGATCATAAGTGAGAACTAATCAGAATGCGTGCATTACTGAGCTTATTATATAATTACCGTAATTTCCGGTCGTTTACCCGCGGGTAATCTGTTGATTTTGCATTAAACGCGCGCCACTGCGGGTAATAGGGAGGTGCGGGTTATGTGACAATTTTAAAATCTAGTGGTAGTTGAATTGAAAAAAATTATCACCAACATGCGTTTCCAACTCTCAAGCTAAGTGAATTTTATTGTATTAATAGTGCCGCAAAGCGGCACGTAAACATGATGCCGACTCGAGTTTATTTCACGCACGAACAAATTGCTATCGGCACGCGTGAAAACAAAACCTTGATGGTGACAAAAATTATCCAAAGATATCCGGCGCATCGGTAACAAATTTCCATTTAACACTAGCTTGAGCTAAAGAGAATTTTCCCGTTTTAAGGGACTTATTAGGCCCAATAGAACCGGAGATATCGATTTTTTCAGATATCGCCGACAGTACTTTATAATTCAAGTTTTAATACTCACCCAGCTTTTTTTCAACAAATCAACATGGCGCTGAACGATCGCTCGCACAAAATGTGGCCACAAATTTGCATTCTGTCAAGTATGAAACGTTGAGATTTGGGCATGGGCCGCTAGTGTTTTTACTGTATAATCTTATCAATAACGTACATGCTAATATTGACACAGAATTGTGCACGCGTCTGAATTTCTTTGACCTTTAAACTCGACAAAGACGCTTTCAAGTTTTCGAAAGTTGGATCAGACAACTTTTAAAAGACTGAAATGTATCACCTTCATGTCACGTTTTCGCCACCAAAAAGTTGAATAACATAACGTGCGGGTTATCCACCAGTGCGGGTAATCTGTTGACTTTTTTTTTCGCCGTATGCAATAATCGGCTAGTGCGGGTAATCGGCCGTGCGGGTAAACGACCGGAAATTACGGTAATGTTAATCATGCACTTACATGTAAAAGTAGTAAAACACATTCCTCGGCCTAATTGACGAACAGTGTACATGTAAAACTAAGTGATGATGGAAATTCATCAGAAACTTTTACAAATAGGTTTTGAAGGACAAGACTGAGAATGATCTAAACGTTATATCTGTTTGCACACTGTTGTCCATTTGAACTTCATTTATGATTCACACTTTACTTGTGTATTGGTGCTACACTCTTGGCTTTCTACCATGTATTTGTGCATCATTTTCTCTGGTGATCCTTGTTGGGTTCTGTGAATATCCTTATATTTTCTGCAAAAAAAAATTATATTGAATTCAGCATTATCTGTTCTCTTTTTTTATACAGTTCTCAGTTGAACAAGAGCAATCACTTGACATTGTTGGTGTTAAAATAGAACTGAAAGATGATAGCTCCAGGTAATTTGAATTATATTAACTTTAATACATTTTACAGCATGGTAATGTACACTTACATAAATAAATGTCTACGTTTTCGCAGCTGGATCATGTGAAGGTGAAATGTCTTATCGGTATCAATCAGTATACCTTTTATATTGATGTTTCTCACTTATGATTATTGTGCGAAATGACCACTAAGAATTGTGCGAACAGTCCAAAACTTGCGCTAAAAGAATTGTGCGAAAAGTCTTTTGTGCGAAATGTCCTGTATTCGTTTGCTGGATGATGTATGGATATTGCAGGGAGATGTTAATCGCTTCTGGGTGTTAAAGGGTTAAAATATTTGGTCAAATTGTTTTCTTTCCTTGATTGTGCTTGAATTTAAGTAACAGAGAATTTCAAACATCTCAGATTAATTTTGAATTTTGACATTTTTCTCTGAACACTGTTGTAAAAAAATCTAATATTTAGCAGGTTAAATGAGGCTTTTTCTTTCACTTGTACTGTAAAGTACATGTAGTTTACCATTGTCTTGAAACTGCTGGGGCTTCTAATGAGTTTTGAAAAGTTCATCACACCTAAAGTGCTGGTTCATGGAGTGTCATAGAATCTCAATTTATTTCTTAACCCTTTGACTCCTGAGTGTAACTAGCATGTAACTTTCAATACAACATCATCCCTGTATCACACATTAAGGTCACAAGAACAATGGAAATAATCACCAACTAAAGAAACCCTTGATTGTTAAACAAATTCTCCTTGTCAGCACCTAAGGAAATGTATAGAGAACAGTATGGAAAATATTAAAACTGATGTTAGGGTAAAAAGGGTTAACAACTGTGTGCATTACGTGTATAGACTCTACTGGACACCAGCTCCACCTAAAATGAACCTGGCGCCTGCCACCATCAAGTCACAGCTGTACCCAGAGTATCAGGGGGCAGCTTTACTGCAGGAGAGCCTTGGTGCTGACGTCCGCACTGCCACAGGCATGGACAGTGAAGACAACAATGAAACTGAAGCTGAAATGGAAGCAGATGGCATAAGATACAGGTACCTAGAATGTCCCTCCCTTCCGACCCTTGTGGGTGGATCTTTGGGGGCCGTTAAGAGAGAGGGGGGCAGGTCTGGCTTTGCTTTACCTTTTTCCCGCTGAGAATCCATCTTCAGGCTATGTAGAAATAAATCCTTTTTTTTTTGGCCTGATTTAGCTTTTTGAGGAAGATGAGATGAGCTAGATGAGTTATTAAAAAACACAGATACTGAAACGGGTTTGTTGAGCACGTGATTTTCTAATAAGGTGCAAGCCAGTAGATCAGTGAGACCTGTGCAGGTCGTGATAGTTTTATTTTTGAGTAAGGGAGCAGTCATTATTTATTGCCTGGGGTGGGGAGGGTTTTGGTTGCGTCCTGATAAAATTTACCTAATGATTCCCCTCCCCCACTGCCAGTTAATTGGCCGTCAGTTTTCCGTAGTCTCCCTTTATACTCTGTTGGAGACGATTGATTCCCCTTCCGTTCCCCCTGGATACCATGAGATCCCAGAGTGGTTCCTAAATGGACATGAATCTCCTTGCTGGACTCCAAGCTGCGGCCCTTTTGGTCGCTATTGCGAGTAGAAAAAAGTTTTTTGGCGACTGAATTTACAGCGAAGTCGCCAATTTGTAAAAACAATTTGTCTTTCGCAGTCATGTGGCTAGCTGTAATATTAATGGACGTAATCAATACAATATCAATACAATATCAATACAATATCAATACAATATCAATACAATATCAATACAATATCAATACAATATCCATACAATATCCATACAATATCAATACAATATCCATACAATATCAATACAATATCAATACAATACCAATACAATATCAATACAATATCAAGCAGACAAGTGATAGGAATAAACAAAAGTATCAATTATGGGATTGGTACTTGATCCAATACCATCCACTCGGAACTAGCATCGTAAGCATTGTGTGGCGGGCAGTAAGGAGAATTACTAATGAGATATTAGGAGTGAAAGGGTTAAGTAACTGTGAGGTAACCTTTCGCATACAATACTATCCAGGCTTCGTCGCCTTTTTTTCTAAAACACTGCGACTAGAAAGTTATTGCTGGCCACTTGACGCTTCATGGAGCCCTACCTGATGGCACAAAAAGATCGCGTTCAATAATGTGGCATGATGAAATATTGTTGAAATTTGTCATTTTTAATGAGGTCAGGCCGTTGGTAGTCTTCTTTACGGGAAGGGTCGCTTCAGTCACGCAACGCTCGTCAGAGTATATTGCGTGACAACACCGAACAACACCAGGAAGGAGACGAGGACTTGCGTGACATTAATTCAACCCAAGGAACATGTCTGAGTTTCTTTTCCCTCGGTTTAACAGCATATATCACCATCCACTGAGTACAATCAAGACGTGACAGATGTGTATCAGTAATTTTTTTTCCTCTAACAGAGTTCTGAGCCGAACACACGAGTCCATGACAGATCTAAGAAAGCTTTTGGCCGAATCAGTAGAACACAGGCCCAAAACGGATTTAGGAGGAGAGGGACGTGCTGATCGGTTCAGTGCGCAGCTTGGAGGAATGGGCGAGACAGACCAACAAGGTAAGGAATGGTAAAACCACAACAGGTAATATTTCAACCCTCGATTGAAACTTTCTAATCATGAACTGTTCAAGCAGGCGGCCCAAGCAGATTTGTCTCTGTGCTTGACAAGAGGAGACAGGACAATAAAGAAGACGACACAGACGAAAGAGAAGAGGAATGGAATGGTCAAGAAGAGAACTTAGCTGAAGAGAAAGAGGAGACAGGATTCGTTTACTTTAGGTATATACCTTTCCACTAAAGAAATGCTTTTAGTGCTAGCCTAAGTGTAGCTGTACCCTTTCCCCCAAGGTGAAACGGAGGTTCCCTCGCTTCCGTTTCACCTTGCGGGGGGGAGGGGGGGGGGGCAGGGGGAAGGGGGAAGGGTACGGCTACACGTTCGCTATTTTAGTGCAAGTGTTACTGTTCGTGCATCTAGGGTAAAGGAGACTTTTTCGTACGTTGGCTTTGATTCTTGGATATCATTTGACAATTCGATTCAAAGCTTTCGAGAAGGATGTCGTAGGATGCAAGGTCCTTAAGTTTAAACGTACCTGAACTTCTCAAAATATAGGAGAGAAATTATTTATGGGCATTAAATAAATTTAATCCCTCCAAAAAAGAAACTTAACTGCAGCTTAAGAAACAAGTCTTTCATTGCCCCAAAGTTGATAGAGGCCATTTTTAAGAGTCCTATGTGAATCGTGTAGTTTTTTAGTCCAAGGCGGCGTCGTAAATTGAGACTTTCTTTTACATGTTTTACCATTTTTGACCTTTTTGCTACTATTTTAACGTTATACCATGTAACATAAGATAAGTAATATATATCTTGTAAAGAAAGACAGAAATCTGCTATTAATTTCGTCTTTGATAGATCGGCGTCACAACCTTTGTTATCTATTGGCGACAAGGATCTGAAAGTTCAAGCGGGTTATGACGTCAGCATGAATGAGGTAAACTTTAGATACGCATATACACAAGGTTTATGATCATTCCTCGCAGAATTTTTTAGGTAGAAATCATTTTAAGCTAAAACCAGGTGTTGTTTGTGTAATTTGAGGGCATCAATAGTTTACAATAAGTTTTCCCAGCGCGGAATGTTTTGAAGGCATTGCGGTATTATGTCTTTAGAGCAACTGTGACGTATGGGATCGAGATTGCATGACTGCTACGCTGGCTTCTAAGAGACCGTAATATGACTCATTTATTTTGTGGTTTTCTAACATTTGCTTGTTGTTTCCTTTCCCAATGATGTGCTTTGAATACAGTTGAATTACCAGCGTGAACAAGTCGCTGCCATCAAAGAAAAGCAGCAAGAAAAACATGAAATTGAAGACAGCATCCTTCCTCAGGTACAAATAAAAAGTATTCATATGCGTTCGTGATATTTTCGTAAGTTTTTCTCTAATTTTCCAAAAAAATCTTAAACTGGGTATCTCAAAAGTTATGATGACGTTTTGAAGTCCTCTGATTGTTGTATGTTAGTGAAAAGACTGTTCGGGTCACAAAAACCATTTAGAGCACTCATGAATTCAGGGTCGTGAAATCAAGACCTAAACAAAAATCACAAAGGACATTTAAAATGAAGGAAGATATCTCAAGGAGCCTAGGATAGCTCAAGGTAAAAACGAGCCAACTGCCTGAAGCGTTAGAAATCGATAGTGACCATGACATGATTGGTTTACGTTTTGCCAGCATCTGATTGGCGGAGGAGTTGGCGCAATTTCTCATGGCTAATCAAGGAACGAAGGAATAAAAACTCACAGCAACAAGGCTCTGCAGTATTCAAATGACCCCCCCCCTCTTAGCAGTCAATTTTCTACAGTCCCCCCCCTCCTTTATACTCTATTAGCACGACTGATCCCCACTCCGTTCTCCCTAAGAACCATGTGTCCCCCAAAATCCTCCATCCCCCTCCCCCCAGGTAATAAATGATAAGTCCCTTAAAATTGGTCTATAGCCTTTTAGGCTATGAAAGAAATCATATGTAATCATCAAGAAAAAGTATCTTAGTCGCTGCATAGTTTTTTTCGAGTGAAAGTCGCGGAGTACTGACTTTGCTACAAAAATTGTATAACTTGTAAATTTCTTTGCTTTTTTATAGGAATCCTCAGCCCCAACGAAAACTACTCCCGCCGAGCACAGTACTGTTTTGGGTAAGTTGTTTCAGTATATGTGAACAACAAAATTTTCTTTCTTTCTCTCGCTCACTTTGGCTAAGAGTGATAGCCTGGGAACGACAGTCACCGCGCAAGTGCTTATGGGGTTGTTCGGGGAGGACTCTCATAGCTGTCACAATGAGTCATACTTTGGTACACAGTTCATAATTTTAGGTTGTTGTTTTGTTGTTTAAGACTTGTCTCACGAGTTGGATACTGATGAGGGAAGGACAGATGCAGGTGATAGTATGTCGATACAAACAGGCACAACTGGTCCAACAAGTCGTAGGTATATCGAGTTCGTTGAAGTTGATGAAAATTTTTCAGGATGAGTGGTATGGAATTGTCTGGTATGATTCGAGGGAATGAGAACGAGTAGAGCGAAATGAGATGAGTTACAATGGATAGAGGTAGATTGGATGAAATAAGATGAGACAGGACAAGAAATGGGTGGGAAATAGAATGGATAGAGTGTTATGAGAAGGAAGGGTAAGACTGAGTGGAATGGGAAACAAAAGGACAAGATGAAGTGGGATGTAAATTTGAATTTCTTCGATTTCATTTATAGGAGAATCCCTCACCAACGAAGAGTGAAGAAAAAGACTAAGAGAGAGTTGGTATGTAATAGCCTTGTTTTAAATTTGGTAATTTGAATGTCTCTCCTAGAAATTATTTTATTCTTCATTTCTTTATTCATTCGTTTATTTATGTATGTGTTTATTTATTTGGTTCGGTTCGTTTATTCAGGAAAGAGAACGGGCAATAAGAGAATTCTTGAATCAACCGGCAAGGAAATTAGTCAGGTACTGTATTTAACGTGGAATTCCACAAAATGAGGAAATAGAAGTAAACATACTCAGCGGGAATGATATTCTTGTATTTCCTATTCAACGCTTTGAATGTTCTTCACGATTTTTAATGGTACAGTTATTATTTGTCGCCGGGGGGAGGGGAAGGGTCAGACGATTAGGGGATCACATGGTTTTTAGGGAGGGGGTGGTGGTGGGGAATCCGTTGACCGGAACAGAGTTTGAAGAGGGGACTGGGACTGCCAATGAGAGGCGGGGGGGGAGGGGGAGGAGGAGGGGGTCATTTAAATACTACAGGGCCTTACGGGGGAGATCAGGTGATGAATAGTGACCGGTCCCTCAGTTTGAACAGGTTCGGTCCAGTCGTCTCAGACTGGTGTCAGAGAGACTTGAGCTTAGTCAAAATATTTTTATCGGTAACAGATGCAGGTCATTCACTGAAGTGAGATTCTTGGCCGAGGAAACAATTACAGAAAGAAGGGAAAGCATCAGTACAAGGTAACATAAATTAAAAGAGAAAACTGGTTCTTCACAGTCCTAATTTTTAATCGAAACCCGACCAACGAGCCGTGTTTCCACTCTCTTCTACAGCGCTGAACTGATGAGAGTTAATAGCGAACCTGCACTTTTTGACTTCGACAACGTTTTCAAAAACGAGTTCACCGGGTATGTATGTTAGAATAGAGGATGATATAGTAATACTCAGCGCATAGGTCAAGGGAAATGAGGTAGGCTTCGAGTGAAAGTTTCTAGTTTAGGAAAGAAAAAATTTTTCTATCGCCAAGCACTTCAATTTTACAGAGCCCATCTCCGTCCAGCTGACACTTGTTTCTCGAATTTCCCGGTAACTGAACAGGCTCGTAAAGCAGTTTTTTTTCATTTCAAGATCGTGGTTTAAAAAGTTTTGTAAATTCTACTATAAAACTGTTAGCTAAAGAAACAAGATAAACTTTTTATGGTACAAGAACCTGATTTTAAAATATGGCTTTAAGCCAGTTAAGTGACGGGAACTTTCGAGAAACGGGCTCTAGGACTCGAAGCTAATAGTATGAGAGCCGTCGCTAAAATGATGTGAATTACTTGCTAGCGGCTAGCATACAATGTAGAGAGTGAACGAGTACTCTTACCGGGTTTAATGCTGTAAAAATAATGATAAGCTTTGGCAATGATGTTTTTAGGACCTAAACGATACTAGGAGTGAACAAATTTATCCCAACAGATCAGACATAGAAAACTTTGAAGAAGTACGTGAACGCCTCTGGTATGTTTGGTTTGACGAAGTTTATCCTCCTACACCTGCATTGCCCGAAATAAAATGTGAGTTGGTCACGTTACCGGTTGGTTGATTTATTTTTATGATAGCAGTTTTCAATCAAGTTTCGAAAAATCAAAATCAACCAATCATAACAGAGGTCTACATTATCATTAGCCAATGAGAACTCAAATTAAAAACAACAAGCTGCTTGAAGCGCGGGAAAATGCGAATGGTTTTAGTTTTGCATCTAATTGGTCGGGAGGATGGTGCGAGGTTTCTGGACCAATCGCAGAGCACAGTTGAGTAAAAGCAAAGCATTCTCGGATTGCTTTCGACACTGTATCAAAAATTGTTCATCAGTTAGCTTACGATTATTTAGTTCTCGTCGTGGATGGTGTGGTTAAACTCCCGATGGTGGTTTTAAACATCCAACTTCTCCTCACAATTTCAATGTAATATCCATGGACTAGTTATGAGAATTGATAAGGTTATTGTCTAGAGGGTGTAACCTTGGTAAAGCAGGCATGCAGTGGCAAGGTATTCCTCGGAGTACAGGAAGTCGAGATTTCCAGATCCTTCTTGTTATTATATGCTTCCCAAAATTTAACGTTACTCCTTAAGTTTTTATTTGTCGTGATAGAATCTGACCCTTCTTTAATAAAGGAGCTCCAGTGCACGTAGCAGGCGCGCAAGCGAAGCCTTAATTTTCTTAAAAGAAACCCTGATAAACCCAAACAAACCGAGAAAAAGTGGTTGTCGCGTGACATGTGCACGTCATCATTTGCATTCGGCCGTTCGTCCGCGCTGAATTGTGACTGTATTACGTAAGTTATTTGCCGACCGCTGATTTAAGGGACTGTCGGCGAATCAACTGAAGTTCCCCTAGAAGGTTCGGTACATTATATATTGGTTTCCTCGTTAACTGATAAATTCTCTTTTTAATCGTTTTTGTCTTGTTTTTTTTCCTTTAGTTGACCTGCAGAGTTTTGCATCTCCAAGACCACCAACTCCAAGGTAAGGCAAAAATACGCAGTATTTTTTTACTATAATACTGTGGATAAAACTGAATTGTTTTTTTTTTTTTTTTTTTTAGCAAGTCCTCAGCGGTAGTTATTGACAATAACATATTGGACGATATACAAGTTATTGAGCCGGAGATTCAAAGCTCAAACCAAGAATTGTACCAGGTAAGTCAAGTTTTCTTCTTTGTTTGCCTACTACACCTAGACAGTTCACTTCTTTGGATCAGTGTCGCTACCTGAGCAACCGCGCACTTACCCCTCCACTGAATCAAATATTAACCCTGACTTGTTATCAGTTGACTATTGTTAGGTCAGGGAAGGGATAGGTGTGCAGTTTCCCACTTGGTGAGCAGAAGGCGAGAGGGTGTAATTTCTAAGTGAACATTGTAGTAGTTGCAACGTAGCAAAGACTAATTCGAGATTTTATTATTTAAACCTATTTGTTGTTGTTGGTCAAGGATATATTGGTTGTTTGATTTTCTTATGGAATACTCTACTTCTAAGCCAGCACGGTGTTTGCGTAAAATAAAAGGTGTTGCGCAACATGTATCGCTAAACAGCTTTCTTACCTCATCCGTATTTCAACTGTATACCTCTGTAGCGTTTTCTTCCAAACTGATCACACATACAAACTTAAAACTGTACGAAGTGGCATTTAGGTTTGGCGTTTATACGAATGTTAGCTTACGAGCAGTCCCTGCTTTTCTGCGAAGTCCATCGCGCGAGTGAAAAAAAATCCCAGTTAAAAAATTCAGCAGGACCTTGCTCACTTCAACTCGAACTTCTTGGTAGCTCGAACAAGATCCGATTCCCCTTGACCCAATTTTTCAGTCATTTTCTATCAGCTAACTCCAACCATTTCTGTTTCCCTCCGGTTTAGTTGATTTTTATTAACACTGCACACTCTCGTGTTCATCTAGTTTCCTTCTCATGATTCTAACCAAAGTACTTTATCCTTCGGTACCTCAGGCTCTTCAAGAGGAAGTCGACCGACTTACTGATTTGATAGACACAACTCAGGGAAAAGAATCTTTAGCCATTCATTTATGCCGACGAGGGGCTGTCTACCGAAAGGTACTATAGACCAGGCACTGGAGCATTGAAAAGCACAAGTGGGATCTATCATCTGTTTGGTTTTTATTTCCATTGTTACCCTTAAACTCCCAGATCAATTTGTAATTCTTTTTACTGTCAACTATACAATTCTTATGATGTTCAAAGAACTTATTCTTGGATCAACCAATTATCCCCAAATTAATATTTTTCTTTATTCTCATCACTTATCTGGTTGATATTGTATTGATATTGTAAGGAGAAATTCTGTCTTGGTCACTCGTGGGAATAGAAGGGTTAAAAAGACTAGTACGTGTTCCTAAGATATTTCGGGCTGGTTTTGGTTTATACAAAATTACCGTTAATAGGAAGGAAATCTGCTCAGTTGTTGTTTGCTGAAGGAGAATAGCAATGAGGAGGTTTTAATAAATCAAAAGGTGACAATAATGGTTGAGGATGGAGAAGATAAAAGCGAATTGGAAATGATAAAATATGTGGAAAAACGTATGCTCATTCTTTAAGCTAGGCAAGCCGTAAGGTAGCTAGCTACCTTTCACAGTCCTGAGAACTTCATGGTCCGCCATTTGTGCCCGCCAATCGGGTATGAAACTAGAGGCAACGTTGGCGTGGAACCTCTGACATTTACTCCAAAAATATGGTGTAGACTAGTAACGAAAGATGAACCAACGACAGGGTCACTTCTCTCCTGTTTTTTTGAAACCAGGTACTTTCTGGACTTGTTTAAGAAAAACCTTGTTGGATCATTGTTAGTTTCCCTGCCTGTGTAAGGTCATTTCCTGTGGATGTGGCCACAAGAATGTCCTGCATTTTCCTGCGCGCCACATCCTCAGCATCATGAATTTCTTTGGTGTAAACCCATTAAGTTTGTTGTTTTTTAGGCGACTATTTTCATATTTACAATAGATATTACTTTTACTAACAATGGACACTCGGAAAGTGTTGTTTCAGTTATCGAATTTTATTTTTATCTACAGCTTGGACATCTAAAGAAAGCTTGGGATGACTTAAACAGGTGAAACAGCGAGAAATGATCTTTCATTTTGTTTCATATTTAGTAACGTATTTTTTGCCCATTTCAAGCCAGTTTTACGGTTGAATCTGTAACTGGATTAACTGAGTAAAGTTGGAACTTGCCCCTACCAATTGTTTTTGCTTTAATTGTAGATCTATTGAACTGGAACCAAAACTGCTGGACGCGTATTGGCACAGACACCTGCTTTATCTCCTACAAGATAACAGAAAGGTGCTGTAAATTAAAAGATAAGCAGTAAGCGTTTTATGTTGTCCCCGCAACGCGCACATAATCCATCTTGGTTTGTCGACCAACAACGTATGTATTCAAAACCGCTAGATCAGTTATATTTAACAATTATATGTCCAAGCGTTCTTTATGCTTCTTTGGCTACATTTTCTCCGTAAAGCAGATACTGTTAATCGAGTTTTTTCTTGCATACAGGATCTCATTTGCTATTGGTGCTAAAACTATCCGCAACCAATTTTGTTGTATCTTGTTGTTGTTGTTGTTGTTGTTGTTGTATTGTTTATATCCTTGCGTATTATAGTTAGCTCTGGAGGACTTGTCTTTCATCATCAAGAACAGCAGCAGTCAAGCCCGAGCATTTCGATCCAGGTTCGTTTTAATAGAGATAGACATAGGCAAACAATAGGCATAGTAAAACCGAATAACAGTTGGATCGCTGATTAAGCTCCGCTATCGCAGTTACCTTCTGAAGCATTAAAGGAGACTTGACGGAAGACACTTTGTTGTAATTCTCTGTATTGTCCGTTACCGACGCAAAAAGAGAACCATGAGTTCCGCTGACTATGGCTTACTATGATAGTAAAAACATCAAAACGCGATGAATGAACGAAAAGGAACTAGGGCTGAAAAAGAAAGCAAAACAACATTCTGAATTCCATTCAACCTGGAAACAGTGGACAAGAAGAGCAACCTCGCGGAATGTCAACTGTTGAATTAATATTATTACTACTATTATTATCATCATTATTATTATTGCATTACTATTATTATTTTAACACTGACTATGAATGACTAACTCTTTCATTATTCACTAACCGCAACGCCAAGCTCTGTTAAACGTGATTTTGACGGAGAAAGCGAGAAATTCAAAGAAATACGGTAGAAAGAGGTGTAGACATAAATCAGTGCGAGAGGCACTTGTAGATAAAGAACTTCCCAGTTTTGCATCTGATTGGTTGAGAAAGTAGTCCGAGTTTTCTATACCAATCAGAGAGCGAAGGAAAGGAATCATTCAACATGCAATGTTAAACTGAATCATTAACAAGGTGGTGTCATCAGTGCCCAACAAGGGAGGGGGTTGGGGGCATACTTAACAGGGCAAGCCTTTTTCAAAAACGTGGAGAGATGACTAAAGCTACTCCCTCCCCCAGCCCCTCCTCTGCGCGGTCCCTGATCATTTGTGGTTTTGACCGTTTAGCATGAACTGACCACTGTTTCTCTAACCTACAGAGCGGAACTATATCGGCAAGAAAACGATGCAACAATGGCCATTGTCAATTACTCCCAGGTAATACGACAATGATGCCACGATATTTCTGTTATCACGTCCTTATTGGTTTTAATTCTACGTGCGAATTGAATTTACTGAGTTTAGTGATTAATTGTAGGCGATCAGGTTGAATCCTGATGATGCCGAGACCTACTACCAGAGAGCAGCTATGTTTAAAATGGTGAGTATGCCGATGCTTTTTCAAGGTTGAATCATTGTCGGTTAGATCTTAGATTTCATCGAGATCTAAATAAAATGGCACTTTCAGTCAATCTGTTGGTTAATGTTTTGTTTGTTTTTTTTATGAGTTTGTCTCTTTTTTTTTTTTTAAGCGTGGCGATTTGATTTTAGCTCTTGAAGATTATAAGATTGCAGCGAAGCTTTTGCCTTCGAAGACGGATGCCATGTTCGAGATAGGCCTGTTTCGTTTTCAAAACGAGTGAGTATCGAATTTAGATCGATCTTGTATCGATTATCAATTGCCTTATTACGATCTTATTGGAAACACTGAAATAATGTAACGCAGCGGATATTTCCCGTTTGAACGGTGTCTGTTGTTCTTGAGAAAGGTACTTTGATTTCGTAGTACTTCTTTCTACCCACGAGAGCCACGAGGCATTTTAACGCCTCTTTACAGTCCACGGGAATTCAAAAGTATTAAAAGAGTTTCCTGATTACTTTTGTCTTGATATTTGCTAAACACAGAAACTGGACTGCTGCCCTTAGAGATTTTACAGAGATTCTCCAGCAGGACCCAGAAGACTCTAAGGCTTATACTTACAGGGCAAGAGTGTATGCCAAGATGGTATGTGTAATGAATAGATTTTCCGTGCTTAGAGCCTAATTAGCCATTGCTGTCTTCGTAAAAGGAGCTTCCGTAAAATGTCTTTCTTCCATGCGTCACCTGACTGTGTTTAACTGTTGAAATATCTGAGTTAATGCAAAAGTTCCCTAACTCCCTCCCCCTCAGCAATGTTACAGCTTCTTTGAGGAACTACACTTTTCCTCAATCTTTGCTTGATATTGAGTCAGTTTAATTCTGCCTTTCTATTGTTTCCCTGGAATACTTTCGGCATTCTTGTTCGGTAACACGCTCATCACAGCGGTCATCACAAAGGCATCATGCCCAAAGGTCTCTTTCCAGACTCTTTTGGTCCAAGAAAAAGCGTCTCTTTCGGAAAATTCGGAAATCACCAGCGTGGTTTCGGGGACCGATAATGTGACATTTAGGAAGAAGCTAGTTTCCTTACCATACAGCAGCTTCTCTTATGTGTAGAATTTCCGCTTTGTTGCAGGATGACTTCGAGGCTGCATTGAAAGACCTAGCCGCTGCTGTTCATTATGATCCTAACAATGCAGTGGCATTCTATCACAGAGGATGTTTGTTGAGAAAGTAAGAAATAAAAAATTAGAAATAAGAAGTTATTCTGTGTTGAAATTTCAAAAGAGGGGCCCTTCAAAAACTGTTCCAACTTTACTGTTTTATTCCAGAGTACATCCGAGGAGAGCTCTGCAGGATTTGAGTGTGTCTCTCCTTCTTGATAGCTCTGAAGATAATGTCAAAGCATTTCTGCATCGGGGAATTTTGTACACCGACTTGAAAAGGTAAGAGTAAGTCCTAGAGACAACTTGCGCACACAAAAGGAGTTTATTCTGGGTTACTCACCATGAAGCAAGTGAAACCGGAGCAATCTTTCATTGAGTGTAGAATGTACTCCTGGATTGCTTTCTTTTAGCTCCAGTAAACTCGCGCCACTCTTTCAACCAATCAGATGCAAAACTTAAATCAATCACGAACTGGTCACACGCGTTTTCGCGCGCTTTAGGGAGGTTGGTTAGTTTTACTTTAAAATTTCATTGGCTCTTAGAGATAATTTCCTTTCTTCTGATTTGCCGTTGTGATTACTTTGGTTTTGGTTTTACGACACTCAATCAAAATGCGCTCTAGTTGTGCTCTTCCTGAAAGGAAAATACTTCTTACATCACGAGTAAGATTCAAACTTGTAGGATCCTACAGGTCAAAATATCTCTTTTGTGGGAGAACCTTAGGTTCGAGCCCCAGAAATGGTCACCGGGTTATATTCTCGGATCACTCTAGGCACTCTTTCAGTGCCTCTCTCCAAGTAGGAAATAGATGGTTCGAGTGGTATCTGGAGTTTCGCTGAATTGCAAGTTCGTCCGCTACAAATTCGCTCCCATTTCGAAGGGTTCTAAAGTCTTTCAACTCGTTTCCATATAGCAAATGGTGAACCTTTCCTAACGGCTCGATCAACGTGTAAATTTGTTACTGTATCAACTAACGCGCTTAGAGCAAAGGTGCTACATTGCACATGTCTTAATGTAACTGGGAACCTGATCTAATGCGTTGTGGGGGATGAATTGTCATGGGCTTGCAGCTCAGTTATCCACTGGTCCATCTTTATCTTTCAAATTGCTCACGCTAAGGGCAAACTCTGGATTGACTTTTAATTACCTTTTATTTATTTTTTTTCATCATTTTTCAGATGGGAGGATGCTGTTCCTGATTTTGAGGCTGCTCTTCAACTGGATTCCAGTTTAGCTAGTGCTCATGTCAACATCGGTTTGATTTACATCATCAAAAACAGCAATTACCACAAGTGAGCTCCTTTTTTTCTCTCTTTAAAAAGTGATGTCTTAAGCTAGATCCCTTTTTTACCGCCACGTCAGCTATCTTGAGTAAATAGAGTCACCAACCTCGAACACCATATAATACTGTAATTGAAATGGCTGTCGCAATCGTAAAAGGGTTTATTTAAAATAAAAAAATTCCCTTTTGATAATTCCACTTTTGCTGTTTTCATTAGAGCCGTTCGTCGTTACACAGCAGCCATTCGAGTGGATCCGACATACATCAGAGCTTACATCTGCCGAGCCGAAGCTTATCACAAACTCCACATGGTGGGTTACAAGTCTCATGGAATTGAAATTTCTATTAGGTGTGATGGGCAGAAAAAAATTGTTTTAGGCGTGTTGTACCATGAGTAAATTTATTGGCGCGCAAATTGGCCTTTCAGTTGGGGTTTTTTTTTGTTTGGTATTTTGTTTGTTTTGTTGGTATCAAGAGCGGGTTTTAGATTGAGTGTTGAGAAAATAATCTCATAGTGCGGATAAGAACAAAAGTAAAATTAACATCAAAAGCAGCCAATACAAAGTTTTGGTGAATACAGGCAAATACAGGCCAACCCTCATCAACGTGTAGAGACTATCAAGAGCCATTGTCAACTCAACCTTGATCTGGCTTCTTACTATCGTTATGTTTTCCAGACTCAAGATGCCATTCTGGATTATACAAGAGTCATTCACATGAGACCGGACGTATCAGACTACCACATGGCCAGGGTAAGTGCACATATTAATATCCTCCTCATTTCAATTTAATAATGTAGGCGGTGAAGAGAAAAAAGTGTTGCTGAATTTTGCAAGAAGCGAAGTGACGTAAGAGGAGATGGGAACCGTATGTTAGTAATCGGCTGAGTACACGACGTAACAAGTCAGTGGCGTTGCTAAGCGACATAATGTAATTTGGCGATGTACAATACAGCGATTAAACTTAGAGCATGCGTAAGGAGATCAACTTTGCCAGTCACATGCCAATTTCCTGCGCCAAATTTGAAAGGCAAAACAACATCGTTATTACGCAAAATATGCGAATAAAATTTTAAAAAAGTTGACAGAAAACTGTAAAAGGGAGCATAAGGAAGGAAAAGGAAAACTCGAAACTTTTCGAACACAAAGATTATTAAATTACGGGATAATCTGTTGTTTTACCATATTTGTAGTGAACTTTATCAAAGCATTTATACGGTTTCAGATTACCACGACTCACTGGCTTGTGTAGTTGTTTATGACTCCTGTATGACATCTTGGCTCTGATAACCTGAAAGCACTTCACCAGGATACGACAACGTTTGCACATGCGTAGACGTTTAAACTCTACGATAGTGCCATGTACACGTGATAGTCTTTGGAGGTCTCAATAACGGTTTTGTATTGAGATCGAATCGCTAAAAAAGATGCTCGATTGTGCTTAAACACCCATCTCTGTGTAAGGTGGAAGGGGTCCCCTTGAATGCATGAACTAAAGAAGGGTTTGTATTTTCAGGGAAAACTGTTATTGGAGCAAAACAAGTTAGAGCTTGCAAGTTTTCACGTCAGGTCTGTAGTCTTGTCTCTCTTTGATTCATGATTGTGTTGTCCGAGTAATGGCAAGTCTCTTTAACCTCTGAAGCTGTGCTTTGTATTGAGTTTCTCATGAAGTCTTTTACTACATTAGGCAAGCTGCAGACTTGAACCGAGGTCTGGGAGCATCGGCAACTCAACAAGCGGTGGTTCAAAGCTTCTTGAAAAATTTCGACCAGGTAATATAATCTTATCAAAGCCAAGGAAATGTTCCTTGGGGTCGAAGAGGCCACTAACCTTTCTTACCACCCATGACGTATCTGCTCTCCAACTAGCAACCTGTGTCTCTTTGATTCAAATTTCGCAAAAACCTTCTCCGTCAATCGTCCCTCACTCTTCGTCCCTTCGTTCCTTCGTCCCTTCGTCCATTCGTCCCTTCGTCCCTTCGTCCCTTCGTCCCTCCGTCCCTTCGTCCCTCCGTCCCTTCGTCCCTCCGTCCCTCCGTCCCTCCGTCCC